TGCTGACCCCATGTCTGCACCCCATAGTCTCTTCAGTACCCACAAAAAACTGTCCCTCACCCCAGGCCCCCACATTCCTCCCAGGTGCACAGAATTAGTAGCTCTGAAAAGCAGCCTATCAGGTCACTGCTGACCCCTGGACACATTCCTGGCCCGGGACCCTGGGCCTGACAGCATCCCAGGCTAGCTGCCCCCTCCCCAGAGGAGACTCTGTGCAGGTAGGATTAGGCCTCTCCACATCCCTTCCTTTCTACCCCCAAACATCCCTGAGGCTGGCTGGGCCAGTCATTCTCCTGCTGGCCAGGGGCCTGGCACTATTTTCTATGTTTATAATGCTCGAACAGTCTTGAGCCCATGCCACCTCTTCCAGGGAGCCTTCCTAGATGCTCAAACCAAAATAAATGGGTCCTTCTGCTGCTGCCTCTCATAGGATTATAATTAGTCTGCTTTTATGTCTGGTCCATTAGTCTTCAAACTCCTCCAGGGCAAGGGCCCTGCGTATTCATTCCTAGATCCCTCTGTCCCCCTCCCCCAGCTATGACACACACGGGGCCCTTCAGAAGCGAGGGCAGGAAGCAAGACAGTGTCCAACCCCAGTGTTCGGCGTGAATTCACCACAGTGGGCAGATCCCGCCCGGTGTTTGCCCCCGATACCCCCGGGACAGTGACTCCATGGGCCGGCAGGAGTTGGAAATGAGGATCGAGGCCAGATACCAAACTTCTCACCAGGGCAGCAGAGGTGCCAGCTGGCTGCGAGTCTCTGTCCACACAGAGAGGGTTTTCTTCAGACCGTCTTACAAATGGAAGGTTGGTTTGGCTGTGAGGACCAGGCTCAGGGACCGGTCTCGTTCTTCTCTGAGCCTGCAGCCCAGCCCAGGCCTGGCCCAGAGCTGGCCCCGTCCCCGCCAGGGAGAGAAGAGTCAATGACAGGCTTACGGGGGCCTGGCTCCAAACTCCTCCAGCTAGGCCTGCCCCGTGCCACAAAGCGCCCGTGCCAGAGCTGGAAGGGGCCCAAGTTTACCCACTCCAGCTTCCGCCGTGCATCCAGGAGGTCACTGGGGCCCAGAGAAGGAGGGCAACTTGCTCGGAGTCACAGCGCCATGTCTCCCAACTCCCAGCCCAGCCTCTTGCAGAGATCTGGCAGCCCCATCACGTCCCCTCACCCCCTCTTCCATCCTGCCCTTCCTCCAGATCAAGGCCCCCTGACCCAGGTGTCTCCTAGCATCCAGGCCCCAGAAGCCAGTCACCCAGCTGGCATGGCTCTCCCTCCTCTGTCCGACCACCGCCAGCTCGCCCGAGCTCTTCCCTCGGCCCCAAGTACCCTCCCCACCCTCTGGACCCAGCAAACTTTTCTACTCATCCTTCAAGGCCCAGTTCAAACGTCACCTTCTCTGACATCAAAGAGAGTAATCACTCCCATTTACGGATTACCCATCCCCGCTGTGTTCTGGAAAACCAACAAGTGAATGTTAAATCTACTAGCAGGTATATACATACATAACGAGTGATAGGCGCACCATCTGAGGGATGGTCATGCTGGAGACTCAGACTTGTGGGGGGAGGGGGGGAAGGGCATTTATTGAAACTTTAAAATCTGTACCCCCATAATATGCCGAAATAAAAAAAAAAATTAAAAAAAAAAAATCTACTAGTGGGGCTTGCTGCTGCTTGGCACCCAAGTTCCTTGGGGACAGGAACCTGACTCCGCAAAGCAGGGGTAATAACAGTCTCTGCACACACACCACATTAGATTGAAGGGGGCATGAGGGCTGTGTAAACTGTAAAGTCCTGTGCTAATAGAAGCTGTCTGCATTACCTCCGCATCGCCTCCCTATGACTCAGTTTCCTCAGCTACGAAATGGATGAAGTTAACGCATGTACATGGCAGCAGGCATGCTGTGCCTGGGCTATGTGGGAAGGACTCGTTAAGGCTGCTGTCATTATCTGCGTCACTTTCGTTTTCTTAGGATCTCCCTGTGGACTTTGTCCCTGGCCAGCACTCAGTACGTATATTTTGAATTGAATGGCTTTGGCATTTGAGATGTTAGAGAAGACAAGGTTAAAATCCACAGACCGTCACATGAAGATGCAGAGTTAAATCTTATCTTCAGCAATGCTACACCGTGGCCTTCGAGCCCAAAGGTGAGCTCAGCTGGGTCACTGTGGCACAGTCCCTTGCCATCCTGGAACACGGGACAGTTTACTGGAGGGGGCTGGAAGTGAGGAAGTCCCGGCCTGGGGTGACCTCTGTGCTGGCAGCCCCAGGGGACAGGCAGTCAGAGAGCACCACCCCTGGGGCCTGGAGGGACTTCCAGGTGCCAGACTTCAGGTCTGGCCTCTGGGGACGGCCAGGACACGAGCAGTGACCTTGTGGTAAGCAGTGACCCAGCCCAAGGCTCAGCCCAGCGAGATCCGTTCCTGTCCTCACCAAGGACAGGGCAACCCAGGCAAGCCATGTCCTGGAGCCACCGTTCTGTGCCAGCTGCAGAACGAGCCTCCTGAAGCTCACGTGGACAGCCTCTGGGACCTGACACCCGAGCCGGCTTTGGCAAATGTCCCACAGAATCGATTCTCGTCTGCCAGGGAGTGTCGAGTGCAGCCCCTCTTTGGACGGATGAGAAGAATAAAGCCCAGAGATGGGAGTGACTCGTCCAAGGTCACACAGCTCATGAGAACATTTACTCAGAGCCCACCGAAAGTCGGCAGTACCATCTGAGGAAGGCCCAGGGCCAGGCCCACCGTCCGCCAGCCCCGACTACCAGAGCAGGACTCGCTGTCACCGACACCACACTGTGCAGCCACGTGATCATGCTTCCTGCGGTGCTGGGTCCGGGTCCCTTATGGCCCTGATCCTGCAGCACCCAGCAGCCAGTCTCTACCTGTCAACGGGCTGCCCAGCTGCTTCAAAGACAAGGGAGGTTTTCAGGGTACAAACGGGGTGGACAGCGCCTTGTCAGTGGCGACAATCACTATGCACGCCTTAATTTAGGTCCCCAGCATGGACTGATTGAGCATCTCCTCTGTGCCTCGTTCCAAGTGGGCAGGCAGAGAAGCAGGGACACCAGCCCTGTCACTGAAGTGCTTACAGTCTACCTGGATGACTGTAGAAGGAATTCAACACGTAATACCACCAGGCTGTTGGTTTGCACCAGCACTTCCTGTCTCCCCGTCTGCACTGCAGATAATTCCGTATATCACCTGGGATTTTCAACCAAAACTTGTGGCTACAGCACAGCTCTAGCCAGTGGGTGGACCACGGGCTCCTGTGGCACAGAAGTGCACAGCCAGCAGCAGAGGCTCACCCTAGAATCCAGACGAGGTCTTGGGCTTCTCCGGCTGACCTTACGACCTGGATGTCTCAAAGTCTGCTCCGAGGAAAGTTTGGGAAAGATGTAGATCTTCGGTCCCTCCCTTAAAAGTCAAACTCTACACCTCTGACGAGGTGCTCTGGTGATTCCAGCCCACATTCAACTTTGAGAACCAACCGCTGCGTAGATCGTACCTCTCAATTGGGGGCCCTATCACCTCCAATGGGGTGGAAATCGATTCTAGCGAAGGCAAAAAACATCAATTTTCTGTATATAAAGCATGAATATGCATGCAGTATATAAACAGATATTCAGTATATCTGTGCTATTTTAATTTCATGGGGAAAGCTCATGCAACGGTGCATGCCTGTAGTCCCAGCTACTCAGGAGGCTGAGGCAGGAGGATCGCTTGAGCCCAGAAGTCTGAGGCTACAGTGAGCTATGATGGTGCCTGTGAACAGCCACTGCACTTGGCCTGGGCAACATGGCAAGACTCCACCTCTAAAAAAACTAACATTTCATGGAGGTGGAAGGAATAACAATTAGGAGGAAATGTCTGAAACATTAAGGGGGTAGTAACGAATAAACAATTGAGGGTCACGGGCCGGGACAAAGGCAGCCATGACATCGGCAGGGTGGGAAGATGGTGAGGAACACCCCCAGCCCTGCCAGGGAGGAAGAACCCTCACCCCATCTGACCTGCTCCGTCTCAAAGCTCAAGGGCAGAGAGGCAAGTGGGTCCATTCTTGGGACATGTCAGCTCACACCTGACGTCGCTGGCAAAGAAGGGAACACGGGAGGAGCCACCGAGCAGGGCCCTGAGGATGTCATGCGGGTGCCCCCTAAGGCAGAGCAGCGAGGGAACCGGAGCCAGCCCCAGGCGGGATTGGGAAAGAGGGAGCCCACCCTCGGCTTTCCAGTTTGCAGTATGGAGCCAACTAGCTGGCATCTGGGGGCATCTGGGAGCAGGGAAAGGGTCCTAAGAAAGGGACCACGCAGAGCCGCCAGCACAGGGCAGGCTGGCTTTGGGAGGAGAGACAGGTGGAAGAGGAAGGACGTAATATACCGACGGCCAAAACAACAACAGTGGCTACCTGGCTGAGCCTCCACCGTGCACCAGGCAGGCGCCGACCACCCAACATGCTGCCTGGCAAGGTGGGTCACATGACTACCAGCAGCGTGTCAACTCCATGTGGGCAGGGACCCCGTCTGCCTCAGGCGCTGCCACAGCCCCTCTCCCGCTAGAACAGTAAATTCGTGCAAAATGAATAAATCCCCACTTCACGCATAAGGGAAAGAACCATGGAGAGGTTAACTTATCCAGACCCTCCCAGCTAGGGCACAGCCACCATTCAAACCCTCCAAGTCAGACCCCAGAGCCTGCTCTCCTCACCCCCGAGTTTGCCTGGACGCAGACATCCCAGCCAGGTAGCTCGTGGTCCAGGTGGGTCCACAGATGGTGAGGGGGTGAACAAGATAAGGGCACCCTCCCAACTCGGCCCCTTCACACCTGGCAGAGCGTGGACCTGGCAGCCAGCAGGGGCGTGGGGTGCGCTCTCGGGGAAGGCAGCACAGCCCCCGACTTGGCCCGGGCTGCACCGACCACATGTCCACAGGAACCCCTAACACAGGGGAGCCAGAGAGAAAACCACGTGCAGGGAGGGGGCAGCTTACGGAGAGCTCGTCCCTTACCAATCCATCACAGTTGCTGATGGCAACAGCTGCCCCAGGCATCCCAGTGACACCTCCAGTGTACACACACTCCTGCTGCAAGGGCTGCCGGAACAGCTCCCGGAAATCCTCCTGCCACTCCACTGAGGCTCCTGGCACCACCAGCCGCCGGTTGGGCCGCAGGCGCAAGTGCAGTTCCTTCCCAAAAACAGTAACGTTGAAGTAGAGGGAGTGGCGCCCCGTCCTGCCCGGCCGCAGGGTCCCTCCTTCTGGGCGCGGGGGGCTGCGAGCCACCCGAGGGTGAACGGAGTGGGACGGTGGTGTGGGTGGCACGTCCACTACCACACTCCCTGCGGAGGCTGCTGCTGGGCCAGACACCACGTGGGAGAGGAAGCGTCCCTGAAAATCCGTGCTGCAGGGCACCGTCACACCATAGCCACCGAGCTTTCCAGAGAGGCGCAGCTCTGTTGGAGGTAAAGTAAGGGTCACTTCCGATGCGTGCGTGCAGAGGTAAGGGGAAGTCAGGAATCCCATGGGGGCAGGGAGGGATCTGCAATCCTAAGTGTCACCTTAGATGGACCCTTAGCCCAAGTTCATCCATTTTCCATCCACTGCTTCCTGAGCTCCTGGATTTCTACACTTGGATGAACGGTGTTCAGGTACTTTGCAGACATAAATTGTTCCCGTAACACCTGGATCCTTTTTAAACTTAGCAGAAGAAAACAAATGATGCCAAACAGCCCTGTCACTCTAGCAACAAGCCTTCCAACCTTGGGCACTGCCTAGGAAAGGGCTGAAATTCCCCGAAAGCCCCCAGGGCAAGGAGAGGAGAGGCCCCGATCTGCCCCAGCTTCCCCGATGTTCTGAAGTCACCAGCCCAGGCTGGGGTAGGGCCCTTCTCCCCAGGCTCCCAAGAATGCAGCTGGCAAAACAAACACACCTAGAAACCCAGGGGATCGTGGCACGTGTCAATGAGAAGGTGGGGCTGGAGAGGGGAGGGAGGGACTACACGGTTCTATATTTTTCCGAGGTTAGAAAGGAAACTTTTTTTAAGCAGCGCGGTGGCTGCTGAGATTTCTGCATGGCCCAGCCCCAAGCTGGATAAATATAGATCTTCAAAAATAAAAGGAGACACAGGGGGTGACCTGCTCACTTGGGCTGCATTAAGTGTGAGGTCATGGCCCATGCTGCAGGCCACATGCCAGCAAGCCCATCCCCACGCAGCTCTCCCTGAGCCCGGCCAGGCTGGGCACGAATGACAGCTCCCTGGCTTCCAGGACTGGTGATTCATGGACGCGAGTTTGGGAGGAATTTTCATTTCCACACAGCTCTACCACTCGCCTCCCCAGTCCCCGGTACTGATAAAACATAGACAATGATGCTTCCCAAAAATCCCCCATGCCCAGGGCAGTTGTGGACAGAGGGTGCTCACTCTCCTCTAGTTTGATGATTATAGCAGAGGACCCCCAAGACTGCTGTAAGAGGGGTCCCACTGGGGCACAGGAGCAGGGCTCACAGACAAGCAGCCGCCCTGCGTGGAAACGACCAGGACTTCTTCCCCGAGCTCAGAGCACTAGGATGGCACCCATGCAAGGTGTGGAGCAGGCTGTATATCTGGTCTGGCTAGAGAGGATGTCTGCAGCCTCTGAGAATGCCATGCTGGGGGGTCCAAGGACGTGAGTGTGTTTATGGGCAGGGCGTGGTGGGAGGCAATCACCTGTTAGCCTGAGTCTGTGTGTGACAGACACACGCACACCCACACTCACCCCTGCACACAAGCTGGAGACAGAGAAGACACTGAAGGAGACACACAGGACAGAGAGACAGATACTGGGAGAGAGGGAGGGTGGAAGGGGAGAGAGACAGAGAGAAACGAAGTGACATATACACTGCTTCTAAGAAGAGACTCAATGTTCCCAAGTCCTCTCCTGGGGTCTCTCTCTACTTCTAGTGCCAGAAAGGGAGGGAAACCGCGGGACAGCGCCAGTGGCACATGGGGAAGAAGAGAGAGCAGGTCAGCCCTGAGTGTGCACACTGCCTCCCACCCGCTCGAACGCTGCCTCGGTGGCTCGGGCACCCTCGGGCCACCCTGATCGCGTGCACCCAGGACCCCACGGGCCCCCGCGCGCCCAACCCGCACGCACCTGGGGTCCGCCTGCCCGCGGTGGCGCACAGCGCGCAGTGCAAGGACAGCAGGCAGGACAGCAGCGCGCGTAGTGGAGCCATGTGGCCGCGCGGGGACGCGGCCCGGCGGGCGCTCGGGCCCCAGGTCCCCGGCTGCGCGCAAGGCTGGGGCGCGCCCCCGGCTGTCCGAGCGTCGGCCGGCGCCCCCGCCTCCTCCTCCGCCGCCGCCTCCCGTCTCCGCCGCCTCCTCCCGCCGGCTCCCGGTCCCCCGCTTGGCGCCGCCGCCTGGACCGCTGGCTCCGAGCGCCCGAGGCTGCCGGCGGGAGAGCCGAGCCGCTGACGCGCCGGGCCCCGCGTGCCAACTGCCGGCCGGTCTGTCCGCCCGCGCAGTGTCGCCCGGGACGCGGCGGGAGCCGGGCGAGGGGGCGGCGGGGCGGGCCAGGGGTGGGCACACCGGGCGGGGCGGGGCGGGGCGGGGCCGGGCGCGGGTCGGAGCAAGGGGCGCAGCGGGCTGGGGGCGGGGCGCGGGCTGGGGGGTGCGGCGGCCGGGATCGGAAGTGCCACGCGGAGCCGGCGGCGCAGGGGCTGCTACCTCACTGGGCCGATTGTCCCTTCAGACGCCTGGGCTCCCTGGAGTGGTGGCCCGATCCGCTTTCCACGGCCACTCTTTCCACGCCTATTTCTGTTCCAGAATTCTGGGGCCAAAGGGGTGTCGACTGCGTTGCGGATGGGTCTGGGGGCGAGCCTCCCAGTAGAGAACGTCTCTCTCTTTCTTTCATAATGGTCCTAGTGACCCACTAACCATAAACCATTTGGATCTGCCTATTTTCCAAACTGCCGCTCCCTGGGCCCAGGGTGCACTGGCTGCCCTTTGTCCTTGCCACGGGCAGGGATGAGGAGGGTGAGGAGAGAGCCCTGGCTTCACAGACAGCCCTAATTGAAATCCTAGCTCTGAGCCTCAGTTTTCTCATCTGTGAAATAGATGTTAACTGTGGCACATAACAGGTGCTCAATAAACGATAACTACCTTCTTCTTCCATCGCTGACACCAGTAGCACGTGCCACAGCCCAAGGTGGAAAGAACCAAAAGTTTGAGTGATAAGAGTGAGTGCCGGTCTTGCAATGGTGTTGGGACCAGTTCAGCAGTTAAGTCAGACAGCCCAACAGGAAACCCATGCCCTTGCTTTACTCCATAAATGTGTTCCTAACAGTTTGCAAATAAGCTGTATTTCATGCAATCCAGAGGTGGGAATTGGAGAAAGGAGATTTTTCTTTTTTTGAAATAACTGTGAAATAAATAATCTTGGAAATGATGCCAAGATTTTGGAGGACCAGTGTATTTAAGAAGCAGGTTCAGAGAGCTGAAATATATAATATTCCAAGCAATACCAGAGCACCCAGTTATTTGGAAATGGTACCACCAAACTGATCTGTATTACGTTAGGGAAGAATAGAGTTCCTTTTTCTCCTCTTCCTGGTCCTTTGAGATCCACGAAGTCAAGTGCCAGGAGGCATTTTGTGTGTGAGGGCTGGTGGGAGCAAGAATGTGAGAGTGTGTGTGTGAGTGTGTGTGTGTGTGTGTGTGTGTGTGTGTGTGTGTGCCCAGGAGCTTCCGGAAGAGGCTGAGAGGTGCCCAGGTTGGCACCCCTTGGCTCTGGCGCTCTGCAGACCCACTAAATGATCTCAGGATAAAATGACTTCGCTTCTCAGGGTCTCAGTTTCCCAAGCTGCAGAGTGGGGACCCTGTGGGACCGAAGGGAAGAGTCATGGCGTAAGGATTGCTCATTTTCTCCATGCCACAGGGCCGTCCCAGAGAAACTCCCCTAGAAAACTCAGAGGCCTCGGTTCCATTCCACCCCCTTCTTCCTGCCACAAGCAGGACAAGTCAAGAGGGACAGACTGCAGCTGGGACCCCAGTGGCCTGACTCATGAGCCAGTCTTGGCAAGCAGAAAGCAAAACCTCACCCTGTTTCTCTGCCCCCACCCCCTTCCCCGGGGCTACAATGCTTGCTTTTGTTGGCAAGTATTGTGTGTCCGAGCTCTTTTCTACTGAGGAAGCCTTTGTTAGGAACAGGGGACATGGGGGTGTAACTCAGAGTCAGGGCCAGGGGTGGGGGAGATGGCTGGGTGGCCCCATCTCTGGAGATGGACAGGGCCAAAGCAAAGAAATCCCCGGGTGTCAGTTGGGGACCCTCCTAGGAAGGCAAGTTTGGGTTTTCCCTTGTCTCGCCTTGGGACTTTGCACAGGGGAGAGTGGCTTGGGGGTTCCTCAGGCTGACAGTCCCCCGACATGTACCCAATAGTTCTAGTCCACGGCCCTGGGCGGGGAGAGGCAAGAAGTCTACGCTGGCTGCCTGGAGCCACCAAGCAACTGGAAGACGTGGTGTGTGCATGAGAAAGCCCGAGACCCAGGTAAGAGAGGGGCAGAGACATGTGCTCTGGATGAATGGGAAAGGTCCCCAGGGGACCCCGGGGACTCCGTGAAGGAGGCGCTTGGAGGGTGTTCACAGACACCATGCATCCGAGCCGAGGCTTCTCCAGGAGCGGTGGAGAGGAGGAAGTGCCCCAGGTCTGGCACTGCAGGAGCACAGACAGGAAGGTGCCAGCCTGCCGTGAGCGTCCCTGTCCCTGGCGGGAGGAGGAAAGGCTATACTAGCTGGAACTCATGATTCAGGAAGACTCCAACAGGTAGGCCAGAAAGACAGAAGGTGGAGGTGTCTAACCCTGAAAGCGGCCAGGACAAGAGTGTGCAGAGGTGGAACAGCTGGACTGGGGCTTGGGCAACCCCTCAGGATGTCGCCCGGAGGAGGAAAGCAGTCCCCTCCACCCGTGCTCCCTCCAGCATGGACAAAACCCCGGAGATTTAGAGTTAGAGGGGTATGGAGACAGTGCCCAGTCCAGTGCCCTACTCCATTTTACAGTTAGTTAAACTGAAATCTGGAGAGGAAAAGGGACTCGCCCCTGGTCACACAGCGGGTTAGAGGAGGGCCGGATGCCCTGGCTGCAGAGCCAAGCACCTGCTCTCTCACCTGTAAGAGCACAGCCTCTGCTGGAGCGCCAGGCTCTTCCTCCCTTGCTCCATCTTCCCACAGGCGAGTGGTTCAAGGCTGCGATGACAAAATCTCCCCACCTCAGGGGCAGTCCCAGATCCCCCACCCCCACCAAGAAAGTGGGGGTGTCAGCCTGAGGCTGTCCCTGCAGCAAGAGGCCAGCAGCTCCCCAGAGAGGTTGCCGAGGGTGACCTGAAAGGCACCATGTTGTCACAGCTCAGGGGACCCAGCAGGTGGATACCAGTGCTATACCTAGTGCTTTACATGTTTTATTGCCACCTGGGGGAGGCGAGGACCCTGAAACACCTGAAGAGGGTTCTTATCTTACAACCCCTGGTGTGACCAGTGACCAGCGGGGCTCTGAAATACCTGGGAGAGGAGGAGGGAATTCCACTCCAGCTCAGTAAGAGCCACCGGCATCCATCCTAGACAGCCAGGTAGGAAGCCAGACAGCAGGACTGCCCTTGTCACCTCTCTTACCCGACACATCAAGCCCCACCAAGTCCTGTGGAGTCGACTCCAAAGGATCTTCAAAATACAGCTACTTCTTCCCATCGCAAATGCACCCACCATGCCATCCGGGCCACCAGCATCCCTTCTCTGGTCACTGCCATAGTTTTGTCCTAACAGATCACCCCCTCCTCTCTGGCCCCTGGAATCTCTTCTCCAACTGCAAACAGAGGAGATACGTGAGCTGTCACGTGGCTCTCTCTGCTACTAAGCCTCCAAAGGCTGTGTTGCTCTTGGGATAAAGTGCAGACCCCCTGTGCCACCTTCCTTCCTTCATAGTCCCAGCCTAGCTCCTTGCAGGCATCATGCTTATGGTGCCTCAGGACCTTTGCACAGGCTGTCCTGTGCCCTGAATGCTCCCCATCCCTCTTCACCCAGTCCACCCATGCTACCTCCAGACATCATCCTTTTAGCCACTCCTTCCTGAAGCCTGTGCTGGCCTCCCAAACTGTCCTTGCCCCTTGGGGCTCCTTCACGGCAGTTCTCGCTGTTGAGTCTCTCCTGATTCTGTGCGATTCGCAGGGTAACATCTGCTTCCCTCTGTACTGAGCTCCCCAGGGAGCGGGGACCACATCTGGAATCCCCAGTGCCTGCCCTATGGGGCACATAGTAGGCCCTCGATAAATATTAATTGGATTAATAATCAAATGAATAGGAGTTGGAGAAGGAACAGTTCAACAGTTCAAATTTGTGAAGTTAAGCATTTCCCAGATCATTCCAGGGGAAATTTGAGACACACACTTGGAAGTTTCTGAGTCCACTATCAACATGAAGACCAAGAGGCTCCATAGTCAGGCAAGGATGAGAGAAGAGTTGCTTTCTGTGGCCCCAAAAATATTACAAATATTTGTAAAAATATTTGTAATATTTGCAAAATTTTTGCAAATATTTGCAAAAATACTACAAATAACAAAATCAGCCATCCTAGCTAATACTTGTTGGCCGGGCACTTTATACCTTTACCTGGATTCCCATAGCAACCCTGCGAGGTCGACATCCTTAGGCTCATAGATGAGGAGGCCGAGGCTCAGGCGATTTGCCCTGGCACTCAGCGCTCACAGCTGGTGAGTATCCCAGCCATGTCCAAACCCCAGTCCGACTCCAACTCTCCGACTCCCAGGGGCACAGTGACACTGGCCAGAGAGATTCTCCCACCTCCGCCTCCTTAGAGGTCACCTAGTTCACTTTGTTTTCCTATTTTATGTTTAAAAACTTTTTGGTTGTGAAAATAACACATATAGAAAAAAGTGCCACGTGCCCATTTTACAGAGAGGCAAACTGAGGCCCGGAGAGCAGAGGTGACTTTGCAAGGCTACACAGTGAGAGCCTTCAGGGGCAGGATAACATGCCGGGTCTCCTGGCTCCTGGTTCACAGTGAGCTTAGAGCATCAGTGGTGCTAGTTCTTCCCACCCAGGACCACAGGCTCTCTCTGCCCGTGGATTATTCATCAGTTCCTACCTCAGCCCAAAGGGAAGAGGAAGAAGACTTTGGTGGATCTCTTCCTCCTGCTAACTGCATAGAAGTTCAAAGCCAGTGGTTCTCAAATCAGAGTCC